CTGTACCATGCACGGTGTTAGGGAACGCGGACAGAGCAGTGAACAAAACAGACCGGAGTTTCGATTGTCATGGAGCTTACGTCCTAATCAGCCCTCTGATCTGTAAAAATGGGTAACAATTATTACTTATGGGAGTTCTTTCATCATTAATTGTTCTTTTAATGTTGCTTTGGCTTCTAAGATGAGCACAAAAATAATCCAAAAAGTATAGCAGTGTTATTAGGTGGTAACATGTCCATTAAAAAAAAATCTTCAGTTTTTGCATCTTTTTGGTTATTTTGTATTTGAAATATTGGCAATACAAGAACAAGAAAACAAAATTAATGTCTTTAAGGGGAGTAGGGCAAGGCACGTTGCTAGGTTCTTTTTTAGTGAACACCTAGTATCATATCTCGAATCATAATTTTGGCAAATTCATAAAACTCCTGTGAATCAAATGGCAGTGACTTGTTATACCTAAAATGGACATTACTGTTGTTTTTTTTCTTTTGCCAATCCTCACCCGAGGATATTATTTCCATTGATTTTTGGAGAGAGTGGAAGAAACTGGGGGAGAGAGGGTGGGGAAAACATTGATGTGAAAAAGACACATCACACATCCCCACTGGGGCCGGGGATGGAACTTGCACCTTAGGTCCATGCCCTCGACCGGGAATCAAACCTGCGACCCTTCAGTGGGCGGGCTGATGCTCTCACAACTGAGCCACACCTGCCAGGGTGACATCGCTGGTTTTAACAAGTTAAGAATATCAGTAAACTTCTCAAGAGTCTGGTGTTACTTTATTTATTTCTGGAATTGCATGTAGTAATTGGCACACTACCATATACCTGGTAAACATTATATAACTCTAATTGAGTAAGAGTAAATTGCATTGACAATAAAGGACTATTTTGCCGATTCACAACATGTGTTGCCTTTTCGATTTTAAGATAGGCACTGTCCAAACTACAGGGGAAAACACGGATGGCTCTCAAGCTTAAGGAAGAAGTTCCGAAGGTGATGACAACTCACTCAGGCGCGATGTACCATTTCACATTCAGAGAAAGATACGTGGTCTCTCGGTCAATAGCACGGACTCAGTCGCTTTCAAATGATGTTTTCGGAAGCACTCGGGCTCTTCCTACACTGGGAGGGAGCAGGCGGTCCGCCTGAGGAAGGGGCGATCTTCCTCGCCACACCCATTCCACAAAGAGCTCTCCAGCTTCTAATCTTTTGTCTATTTTGTGTTTCTAACAGAATCCATTTGAAATTGTATTATTTTTTAAATTATTTTAAAAACACTGTCTTATGAACTGCAATGAGCATATGGGTGCATATATTTTGTGCATAAATATTTGCAGGTTTTTGGATGAATATACAGAAAAGGAAGTGCCAGGTGCTATGGTTACTGGAGTCTTAATTTTTTGAGGAACCTCCATACTGTTTTATTGTAGTAGTATTCATGGTGGTTGAGACATGGAAACAAAGTGTCCTTCAACAGGTGATTAAATAAAGAGATGTGGTGCATATATACAGTGGGAGACTGCTCAGCCACAAGAAAAGATGAAATACTGCCATTTGTGACAACATGGATGAATCTTGAGAAGATTATATGCTAAGTGAAATAAGTCAAAAAAAGTCAAAAACCATATGATTTCACTCATGTGTGGAATATAAAACTGAAAGCAACAAATAAACAAATAAGAAAAACAAAACAAACAAACAAAAACCCATAGGCACAGACAACAGTGTGGTGGTTACCAGAGGGAAGGGGGGAGGGGGCAGTGAAGGGTAAAGGGAGTAAAATATATGGTGACAGAAAATTTGACTTTGGGTGGTGGGCACATAATGCAATCAATTCACAGTTGATGTATCATATAATTGCACACTTGAAATCAATATTATTTTAGTAGCCAATGTTATCCCAATAAATTTAATTTAAAACAACAACAACACTATCTTAGCCCTGGCTGGGTAGTTCAGTTGGTTGGAGCATTGTCCCGATAACACCAAGTTTGCGGGTTTGTTCCCCAGTCAGAGCGCATACAAGAAGCAACCAGTGAATTATTAAATGAATGGAACAACTAATTGATGTTTCTCTCTCTCTCTCTCTCTCTCTCTCCCTCTCTCTCTCAAATCAATTTTTTAAAAAACGTTGTCTTAAGCAATTAGCAAATCATAATTTAAGAATTACAATATATTGTGTAAAACAAAATCTAAATTTCCTAATTTAGTCACTACCTTTAGTTTTTTTCATTTAAAAGAGAACATATGTAATGACATATATGTTTAATTTACAGAAGAACCACATTTAATGCTATGTCATGCAAAATCGACAGGTGACAAAAGAGAAGATATCTTTAGACCAAATCCAGAAAGTTATTTCAGCAGATGTTCCATTTAGAACCAACACACTACTTAACAGAGAGCACGATAATTATGAAAATTATTTTTAGTAGGCGAAGTTGCTGAAGCTATCTGCATATCAAAACTTGGAACTTCTCAAAATGAACCTTGCTTCAACTTTGAGCTCAGGTTTCAAATGATGGAAAATGCAAAACTCAAATTTTTAGTGTCAAAAAAAATCATAGTAAACAAATTTTTGAGGACATACTTTACCATCTATTACATTATATTATATAGGACAAATAATTTGTTCAGCTTTATTGAACAATCATAAATCACCTATGAGGACAAAATAGGGGATTGTTATTGGAAAAATAAAGATGAATATGACATATTGCCATCTGGTTGTAAACAAACAAATAAATAAGGATATATATATCTATGGAAAGGTTTTATGAAAAAGAAGTGTTCTTTTGTGATAGGAGGGGTTAAGGTAAACTTCAGAGAAGAAAATATATTTGATCTTGGTCTTGAAGGATGAGTAGTGTGATACTGAATTAATCAGAATAGGAATTCAGGTAGAATGACTGACTGTGCAGAGGAGAGTTGCGGAACAACTTGCTGGGTTCAGAGACTTGTGGATAATTTGATAAAAATGGATTATAGGGGAAAAGACAAAAACAGTGTGAAGAAAGCTAGAAGATAAGGTCTACAGAGGCTTTGGAATGGGACTAGACAATGAAAAGTATGGAAACAGTAAGATTGCAATAAGATTAGCCCTCTGCTACTGGGAGATCTCTGTTAGTGGTGTGGAGCTTAGATCGGAAGAGGGCAGATTGAAGGGAGGGAGAGGAAGGGCATTGTTCACTAAGAATCTCCTGGGTTCCTTTCAAATATCTCAGCTTTGTGGATATTTGTGTGTGCACACTCGGGTGCTTTTTTCTCTGTCACTATATTATGATCTTCCTGAGTGAGATAATATCTGGCTGTTCCTTCTTTGTTCAACAACTCATTCTGTTGCTGGCACGTAAGCAGAGCCTTAGGACATATTTTTTGAATTAGTCTTGTTAAAAACTGAGCAGAAAGACAAGAAAGTAATGCTAAGTTTTGTGTTCTTTTACAGTGTGCTTCTAGCTCCTGAACTGCAGTGAGGAGCTTTGTAAATACAGAGAGAACTCTCCTGCGGCTCCAACCTGTTGGCGCGCTTTAATAACTGTGTTCTCTGCTGAAGCATTGTCATCAATGATGAATATAGTTTCCAAGGTTTAAAGGATTGTAGGTTTTCCTTCCTAGGGTGAAGAAATTAATAAAACAAAGAGGCATTTGATGATGCCAGGGTCAATCAGCCATTTAAAGGGGGGAAAATAAGAAAAAAGAGAAATCAAAACGTAGATACTTTCAACATGAGCTGTAATGTTAAAATTCTGTAACATTGTTTTATTTACTGGGATAGATATGGATTTTAAATAGAGGAGAGATATATTTTAAATGATATTCAAGCTAACCTTTTTACTCTTTTAAAATGACATTTACACAGATTTCATGAACTATTTAAATGAACATAGAACCAAATTTAGTCACAAGTCAAAAACACAAAACGCATGTGTCCTGTCTCCCTGACAACATCATGCATTCATTTCCGTGTGTTCGGATACAAAGGCATGGCCGATGCTGGAAAAAGGAAACTGATTAAAAATTATTATTATGCAAGTAAGAAGTTTGCGCAGCCACTGTTTATTGAATGAGCTAGAGAATAATAATTTTTACCACAATAGAAAAAATGAATTCAAGCAACATAACGTTCTCATGGGCTCTTTTATGTTTACATCTTTTAAAGCAAGGATTTTCATTGAATTTATTAACATATACATATTTCTTCAGTCAGAATTCCAAATTAGCGTTTCTATATGTATGTTGTGTGTATATATACATTGTTTCTAACTTTAATCAAGGTTCATCATGTGTCCAAGATATTCATGATTTCATGATCCTTTCATCTATCCCTTATAAATAGAAGTAGACCAAAAAATTTTCTTACATGTGATGAATCATCAGTCTGTATCATACCAACACTGGAATGGGCAGGACAATTCACACATATGTCGTCTGAGTTACATAGGAGTTGATGGTCAAAGCACAAAGACCATGTATTTGATCTGAGAGAATCACTAATAGATTAGAAAAAAGCACCTCAAGTTCTTTGAGAAATGAAGCCCTTTACTTGGTATTTAAGTATTTAATTTGTGTGTGTGTGTGTGTGTGTGTGTGTGTATATATATATATATATATATATATATACACACATATATATACATACATACATACATACATATTTTTTTTTCCCCAGGCAAACTGAATAAAGTGTATAAAACTGCACTGTATATTTTGGGAAGGGCTCAGAGTCCAGAGAGACTAAAGCAAAGGGACAGTATAGTAGATTAGGGGAGACCTGATATATGCAAAATAGACACATTTATTTAAAAAAAAAAAGATTTTATGTAAAGAAAAATGAAATAAACCTTTGTAGGTAACTTAAGAAAAGCATTTTTTTTTTTACTACATTCTTGCTTGTGTTCTGGGAAACTTATTTTGTAGATGTAATTACACTAGAATTGAAAGCATTCTCTGGCGGTATTAAAAAAACGTATTTCCCATAGTAGCAATTCACCATTACCTTTGTAGTTAACCTTGAAGCCAACGGAGCCGACGCTCTCGTCTGTCTGAAGGTGGAGCCACATCTGGCTACGCATGCTCACTATCAAGTCCGGCACAAAGCTCCCGGTCAGACTGCAAAGAGAGGACAAAGAAAGGAGAAATGGGTTCTTTAAACACCCTCTGCAGGCGAAATATGAGAAAGACGTTTCTCAATACAACTGTGCGACAAACTTACAAGACTGTGCATTGACGTCATAGAACAAACAACACAATGTACTAATCAGGTTTATTATAAACAGCACCATCTTATGTGTTTAACTAGGTTAGATCTTTCATATTCTTGAGGCCACATACTAAATTTTAGACCACCAGAGATTCGTGCACTTCTTGGACTGAAAAGAAACAGAGGCTCTAGAAAAATCTTTAAGCTTAAAATAGCAACAACAACAAAACACCAGCAATGCATTTCATTTTAACCTCCCAACTTTCACAGAACTCTGTTCTAACGAAATATTGTAAAAAAGTATTTAAGTGCAAAATAATGAAATGTCAAAGAATCTAATATAACCCTTTGCAATATTAATGTTAGGCTAGTGGTGTCATGTATGTTTTTCTGCAAATATTTTTATTTTAAAAAAACATGCTGCTGATTTCATATGGCGTCACTAAATCCATGCATTAATGATGTCATTCAGTAATGCTCTATTTTTAACGCTATCAAGGAAAATTACTCCATGTTTCTTTTGTCATTAATAATGCTGTACTCACATACTTGAAACAAAGCCAAAGGTCAGATAAAGAAGGACAACAAATAAGTAAGATCCTGGGAGGAACCAGCTATCAAGAATAGAAAGGGGAAAAAAATGGATTCACTGCTGAGTAAAATATCCATACAGATAGAGAATTCTAAGTTACATATTGAAAATATAGGTTTTAAAGAAAGAAATTACTGTTTGCCTACCTTATTGCTATAACCATAAAAATTGCTGGAACATTGCATTAGGACTTTACATAAAGTTTCCTTCTCTTCGTAATAAAAAGGGTACCCTGAGAGAGCCTTGTCTGGTAAGTGGAGGCTATACTGTAGTTGGACCAGGAGAGGGCAGCATGGAGGAACAGATCCTTGAGGTGACCACAGCGGCAAAGTCAGCCACCAAAATAGTAAAATGTCATCAGTGGACTGCGAGAGCGATGTAGCTATGTCACGAGGGTCCCGTGTTTCAGAATTTGTGGGCCTCTAATCACAAAAACACCCAGTTAAATATCATGATTCCATTATGGTATTATGCATGATATTGAAGAAAACTGAATATTATGATATAAAGATCCTATAAAATACTATAAAATTTTAGATATTTATTTTTCACTTCCCAACAAATTTTAAATGATTATAACGTAAGAGATACACACACATAACTCTCCTTTGTAATATATGTGTGTATCTATATGTATATTTCTACACAAACACATACATATATGTACACACACACACACACACACATGCCACCATTTGGAAACATCTTGCAATTAAACATTTGAACTTTTAATTTTCACGTTGGTGAGTTAATCAGTACTCATCTTTTGAGCCACAGAACAGAAACAGGTTTACAGGGAAGAGTGAGGATTCAAGTTAGAGACTTGACAGAAAGTAAAATAAATCAATTGTAAAATGGGCATAAGAACTTAAAACCACATGATGTGCTGTAGATACACTATATCAAACATGCCAACAATCTATCCCACAGGGAATAATAAAAACATTTTCAAGGGGAGATTTTAGCTATTTCTCTCTCTGATATCCATGTCAGTCAGAACTTTTACCAGATCAAAGCCTCTAGCATGGTTTTTGTGTCAGTTCATAAACAACAGCTAATACATGGAGTCAACCTGCTCCCTTGTTAACTTGTTCTCCTGTTGGTCATGATTACACATTTTTGGTGTAAAAGCAAAACACAATCTAAAACATAATAATTATTTAAAAAATAATTTTTCCGACACTGGAAAGGAAAGACAAATTTCTCCCTTGTTCAGCAATTCCTTTAGAAAACTTAAAATTATAAATGACATCTAGTTTTTTGTTTGTTTTTTTGGACATGCCCCTAGTGGGGACCGAACCTGGTACTCTCTGGTAGGCAGGCTGATGCTCCAACCGCTAAGCCAAACCAGCCAGGGCATGATATCTGTTTTGTCCAGCCAGTGTGGCTCATGGATTGAGATTTGTCCCTTGGATTGAGAAGTCCCAGTTCGATTCCCAGTCAGGTCACAAGCCCGGGTTGCAGGCTTGATCCTCAGTAGGGGCGTGCAGGAGGCAGCCAATCAATGCTTCTCTCTCACAAAAATGTTTTTATCTTTCTCCCTTCCTCTCTCTTTAAAAAAATCAATAAAAATATTTTTAAAAGAAATTATTTTTTTAAATGATATCTGTTTCCAATGTATAAAAACCTTTTCAGCTAAATGAGCCTCTTGCCAATTCTCATGCTACGACTGTTTTTCTTGGAAGCCTTGGAATCATGTCTTTGAAATGTGACCATCCAGGAGGATGTCACCTGTCTTCCTGTTTCCGTGGGAGTTTAAGTCTAGACACACAGCTCTGCGATGTCACTACCTGCTTGTCATAAAAATAAAGTTTTATTATCTCCTTTAGATAAGGACAATTAACATGTATGGGACGGACTGTAACAGCCTGATTATATAAAAAGGTGAGATTTATTTATCTTTGCAGTCTCCTTAGCAGATTGTCTGTGATGCACAGCTCAGTCTGGCTTAATGCTTATTCAATATTAAAACTCTTCCATTCTTTTCTACATTTTGTGCAGAAAGTTTCCTGGGTTGGCAGGAGGTTTAATTTCAGATTGTATCTCCCCAACATTTGGTGATGAGGATGGGATACAAATGGCAGTTCCTGAATGCTGTGGACCAGTGGAAGGTCCTGTGGCCACACAACAGCCACTGGGGAGGCCCCGGATTACAAGAAGGCTCTCTTCCAGTGTCCTGGTCTTTGGGAACACCAGCTGGATGAATTGCTCTTTCCAACATCAAGATTCTATTACTGAGCAGGCATGGGTGAATTGGGCTCTAAACCCCCATCAGGATGAGGATTGGTTTCGATAGAGGAACGAGATAGAAAGTCAGAAAGGTTGCCTGCAGTTCTTTCTCTTAAACTACTAGATCTCTCTGTTACGTCCAGAATATATATGAGAAGCCAGTCTTTGAGGATTTGTGAGGGTTTTGGAGGGCCTGATTCTAAGTAAATGAATTACTGGTATTTGTTGGATAGATAGCATTCTAAGAGGAAAGTGTAAAATGATTAGGATAGCCAGTAGGAAAGTGTGAGGAGAGTGGAAGAGGGAATGTGAGAGTTAAAGGCACTTTCTCTTTCCTTTGCTATTTCTACTCCCTCTGTTCCCCCTACATCTCGTTATTCTTCCCTGCTTCAAATAGACCCTGGGAAAAGGGATATGATGAGTTTTTAGACACATGGTTCCATTTGTGAGTAGACTTCCTTTCAAAGGAGAAAGAAGACACAGCTTCTTTAGCTGGTAATGAACTCCCTGCCTTGTTGGGGGCACAGGCTTGTGAGCCTTACATCCTAGCCCTGAGCTCGCTCTCTGTCTCAGCACAGACTCTACTCCAGCAACCTGTCTCGGAAAGCAGAAATTAAAAGGGGTCTGTTTAGGGTATAGTTGAGAACTTGTGTAAAGACTGTCCTTATATGAAGGCAACACGAGGCAAAGAAGTTTCCCTAGTTATTTGGAAAAAGGGAATTTTTTTTAAGTGTTATGTTGGTGAATATACTAACATGAGAAAGCAACCAAAGAGGCATGTAAGTGTACATGTTTCTGGTTACAATGTGAGAAAAACCTTCTTTTTTTATTTGATCAGTGATGCTTTCCTGTTTCCCAGAAGTTTGCAGACATCCTTCATAACATGTTTTCAACACAGAGCCCCGCTCTTGGGTAGGTGCACAAGCTACTGTATGAAATTCTGCGACCATCAGACGTGGCTCTCTGGATGTTGTAAGCACACTGGGGACCGAAGGTGACCCACCACATCAAGGAGTAGCCAACTATTCACCACCCTCCACCACTGTGGAAGGACTGAGGGCTTGGGAGACCCAGCAGAAGAGACTGCTCACAGTCTTTCCTCTAGAGGTGAGCTGGGAGACACTGCAGTGTTATATTCCCATCAGCAATTTGTTGAGACATGCTCAACATTTGCTCACATGGATCTAGAGGCAGACCAAAATCATCCTCTGCTCCGATCCACATTTATCCTGGTTCTCTTGCTGACTATCCAAATTAAATTTCTTTTTTCTTCATTGATTTAAGAGAGAGAAGAAGGGAGAGGGAGAGAAAGATAGAAACATCAATGAGAGAGAACACTGATTGGCCACCTCCTGCATGCCCCTTGCTGGGCATTTGGCTCAAAACCTGGGCATGTGCCCTGACCGGGAATCGAACTGGTGATCTCTTGGTGCATGAGTTGATGCTCAACCACTGAGCCACACCGGCTGGGCGACTATCCAGATTTAAATTAAGGAAAACGTAGTGGAATGGTAAGGATGATCTATGACTCAAACCTTAGTAGCCATTACCTGATTTTGAGACAATCTAGAAAAATATGAAGAGGAAAATAAGTTAAAAACTGCTATGTTTACTGTTCAGTTACAACTACTTACGAAAGGAAATAATCTCTATTCCATCTTCTCAAGCAAAGGAAGCTTTGCTAAGACAACACCCTGGGACACTAAAACAGGGATAGGAGAGGAGACCTCCACATGATGCAGAAATTGCAGACTAGGAATCAGGAAAGCCCACAGGCTAGGGCATAATTAACAAATGGTTTAGAGTGACAGAGACAATCTCAGAGGTAGGAAATGGTGAAATATGCATTTCAATAAAGTTTCTCTAGTTAACACATCCTTGCTTTTTCTGGTAGATGCTAGCGCTACTTATTCTGAAATGTCCCCAGAAATCCCTCTCCTTCCATCTGAATGTCTGTTGGTATTTTGAGTAAGTTCTTTAATTGTGTGTGTGAGTGTGTGTGTGTTTTCTTCTGTGCTTCTGACCTGAATATATTCTGTGAATAAGGAACATGCCTTCTTACTTTATCTTGCTTCTCATGTAAGCCTA